GTGTTCTCTCTCGTGTTGTGTCTCTCTCTGTCAAATAAATACATAAATAAATAAATAAATCTCAATTACTCAGAGGACAGCATGAGTATTTTTTGGATAAAGAAAACAGAAGCATTGAGGAATGTTTTTGAAAGAACAGCTGTATGAATGAATGAAAGAAAGAAGGAAGGTGAGCTGATGAAAAACCACCTGGAAAGTAAAGGTAGGAAGCTGATCATAAATTGAGGGAGGGAGGGGAAACACACTTCCATCTGGAGGCTGGAAGGAATTATTTTAAAAGATAGAGGAGCACAGGGGGATTGATGAGGATGAAAGCCAGACCCACTATGGAGCTGAACTCAAGGGCCCTCTGAAGGGAGGTGTCCAAACACCTCCAAGCTGCTGTCAGAGCAGCTGGTCTTGTGTACGTGTTGCCTCCCCTCTGCTTGGTTCCTGACTCATCTGCTCATGGAGATCTTGCCTCCCGCTCCTCATCCCCCAGAGCTGTTTCCCTTGCTCCAGCAGGAAAGCTACATCAGGCTTAGAGACAGAAATGCCTGAGCAAAGAAAAGGAGACAGCAAGTGGCCACGCCATTATTACCCAAGAATTGAGCCCCGCTACCACAGCAATCAGGAAGAAAAGTCCCTATGAATATGGCCGAGCAACATTTAAAGGTTTTCTGAAGGATGGGAATGAGACAGTTGTGCACTTCTAACTGCTCTTTATGGGACAAGGAACAAAAACATAAAGCAAAGGCTATAGCAGTTGCCCAGAGAATTCCACCAGAAGGAGGAAGACACACCGGAGAACAGATGCTGAACTCAGGGCTCGATGCACTTACCTAGCCAGGCCAGGTTCTGATAATTTTCCGACATCACAGCCATGGACAGTTTTCTCTGAGCAGGGTTCAGGAATCCCCATTCTTCTTGGGAGAAGTCGATGGCCACATCTTGGAATGTTACTGATCGCAGTGATGTGCCTTCTAGAAGTCCAGTGGTTATCCTCCCCTTCGCAGAGCCCCTCTCTTGAAGAGCAGAGTCCTGTGGATGCAGAGCTTTATATGAGCATTACTGGTTCTTAAAGGTGTGGGAGATTCTGTTGCAATGTCTCCAACATCCACTCCTCCAAATGGTCCCTGGTAACGATGATCGAAACAACACTTTCTGTTCTGGGTGCTTTGCATGTATTACCTTGATGCTCTGTCAGGGCTGAAGCAGCCATTCCTCTTTGTCTAAATGTCTCTCCCTGAAAAGGGCAGAATCCTGAGATGCCAGCTGGGGGAAGAGAAAGGAGGGATAAGAGACCCAGGTCTACTTTGCAGCTTCTCACATCACTGGTTTATAAGGTCCTCGTTCCACAAAAACTTTGTGTTCAAAAGACTTCTCAGCATAATTAATAAGCACAGGAAGGGCTGCCTGACATCGTGTCTCACCAGTGAAATGGAATTGAATAGGACAGTGAGAACTAATGAAAACAAAACAAAACAAAAAAAGATGCCAGTGAAGTAGCAACATGAACAATTAATATAGAAAAATAAATATCCAAGATAAACTCAAACAATAAAGAGAGGACATATGGTAGGGAAAACCCCTAGTTCTAGGGTCAACAAAGATAAAATACTTAGAAGTTTAACAGAAACTGTATGACAAAACCTATATGACAATCTTTCAAATATGCCTGAAATACACAAAGTAGATTTAAACAAAGATTTCCCTTTTTCTTGGGCAGGAAGACCAATCCATCACAATGATAGTCAGCTACCTAAGATGATGTGAACTCTGTATTTGGCCTGTATATCCTCAGCTAAACACAAAAAGAAGGCTCCCATACTCCCCAGATAAGCTGTGTGTTAGCAAACCTGATACTCCATGCAAATAAGCAATGCTGTGGCTAAGCAAATAAGTAATATATTGTGGTTACTGGGAGTCAGGTTTTCTCCTACCACAGAACAGAATTTTAAATATAGAAAAGTAGAAATATGGAAGGAACTCTGTGGTGATGTACTGCAATTGGAGTTATCTGTGAATGCACTGGTCTTAATCAATGTAGTCAAGATATAAAAACAGATGTACGGGCGGTTGGCTGCTTCAGGATGAAGCTGAACATCTCTTTCCCAGCTACTGGCTGTCAGAATCTCATTGAAGTAGATGATGAACGCAAACTTCATACCTTTTATGAAAAGTGTGTAGTCACAGAAGTTGCTG